AATATCTTTGCAATTAATAAAAAATTAATTGCAATAAATTGCAATTTTGCAATTTACTACTAAAAAGACATTTTTATTCTTTAAAATATCTCTTTGCTATAAGATGTTGGTTAAGTGTGTTTAAGTATGTTACAAAGCAGTTCTCACATGCTTGGAAATGCTGCTTCTACTCACTACTGATGAATTGTAACTCTTTTAAAAATAAAAACTTAAAAATACATGCAGACTACGAAAACTAATTCATTATGCTATCCCATGTAACTACAAATGACAAGCTGGTACCAAAATATTTATCTTGGCCTAAGTATTCTGTGCATTAGCAAAGTCAGCAGGAAAAAAAACTTGAAACATTCATAAGACACAAAAGATGTTACAGAAAGAATTTAATAAAGTTAAGAACAACAAAAAAAAAAAAACCCAAAAAAACTAGCTCTATAGCCATATGCAAAAAGCACACCAAAACAAAGAGAGGTTGTTTATCAAAGTGTCTGAAATACAGCAGCCCAAGTTCGCTGGAATGCAATTTCAAATTATACTTTAGGAACAATATTAGAATAAATTCTTTGTTCCCTAAAAGTCAGTAAAAAGGCTGACAGAAAAGATTTGTCTTAGAAAAATGGTCACCATTCTCCTCCTTCCCCTCTCTCTCTCTCTCTGGGTCAGATCTCCATATGTAAATGTTCTCTCTACAGTGAAAGTTTCATCTCTGGAAGGATCCTGAGCACACAGCCCAGGTTCCATCTGGATAACTGGGCACCCATTCCCTGTCAGTGTGTTCAGAGACCAAACCCACTACCATGGGTGCAGCCTAAGCATCCTAGTTTGGTACTGCCTCTGCTAATCAGTGGAAACAAAAACATTGCTGATAGTTAATATAATACCAGCTGCCCTGAAATCATACTGAGAACTTACTGGTAGCTGTGCAGGGTCAAAACAAGCAGCTAGGAATAAAGCAGAATGTCTTGACAGTCCCTCATTAGAACTGCTAAAACCAAAGATCCTCAGCAAAGCTCACTATCACCTGAAAAGCTCTGGAAACCAATCTCATTATATAAAAGCAACCCTTATCATCACCAATAAACACCTGTTTACAGCAAACTTGTAAAGAGAAAAATATTTTACGTTAATCTCCTTTAAACTCTCAACACTCCAAAATCTATCAGATTAGGGATAATTGCTAATGACAAATAATGCAACTCAAGACTCAGAATCTTAGTTTTGRTACTCCCCTGCTTTGTAATGTTACATGTTGTCCAAGATTTCCTAACAGAATTGCTATTCAGAATTCRAAACCATGCATGCCAGTGAACCATCATGCAAATAATGGAATAAAAATAAATTATATTCTGCCACTACAATTTTCCACCCTGAAACAATTGTTTTGTATATTTTGAGGAACAGTGTTTCCTGACAAAATGTGACTTTCATTCGAGCACCCTGATTGCTACCATAAAATAAGCTAATATAGTAGTTAATTACACAGAGTACATTTTAACAGCAGTATATTCCCTGTCACCTGCAAAAGGCATGCAATGCTAAAGAAGTATAGTTTTGAGTGGTACAAGCACAAGATCTTMATTCTGAACTAAAATAAAATAATAGCTAATTCCATAAAAATACTTACATTTTTAACTTAGCTTGCTGAATAAGCTAAATTGTTGACACTATTTTTGCCCAGAAAGTCTCTCACAATATGTAAGGTTTTTATGATAATGGAAGTCCCACTTAAAGGAAAAAAAGTCAATTTCAAGTCCCGCAATTTGGCCAAAGCCATCCCAGGACACCACTCCACACAACATTCAAAACTCAGGCTCATTTAACTTTTGTGTCTCATAGGAACACTGTTCACCAATGGCAGCTCCCCCAGCCTTCYCCTTCATATACGAAGCAAAACCACATTGTTATACAAAAAATTGCTTTGGGCAGGAAAGAAAGAGCCCTCTCATAACTGTAAATGCAATCCCCTAAAATACAGAATGGAACATGACATAGCACATTTTGAAAAAAACTTACTAATAAATTGATGACACAAAGAAAGCGCTGTACAATCAGCTGTAGAAAAACTGCATAAACAACTTTACAGTAGACATTTGTTCTCCACTCAAAGACCACTTTACTGTATTTCACAATACTTTTTCTTTTACTAGCTTTCTTACAGAAGTCAGCTATATATTCTGATTTGACAAGGCTGCCCATGCAAAAAAGTTAAACAACTACTTACTCATAGTTGAAGTTTATGGAAAAAACATTAACATCAAAACATGAAAAAACTCAACAAATTACTTTGAACTTAAAACAGATTATCCTGTTAATGAAATTTTGTGAAATTATAGTTCACGTGACTTGTAACTTCAAAACTATTATGGAGGTCAGAGGGAAAACATAAACCTATGCAAACTATGCAAATCCCCCCAATTTTGGTACACCCTAACACTTAGCCCAATGCATTATGAAAGTATGCAGCATGTACTAGAAATCTGCAACAGTTTCAGAGCACATWATATTGAACTCAAGATATTAAAATAATATACAAAAACAACTTATTTCAGAGGCTGAAACAGTACAAGAAATAGGCTGATATTTGTTCAGTCATGGTGATTTCAGTCATCTCTTTTTAATCAGTTTTCAACATGGAAAAACTTTTCATGGCACGTCTGTACCACTCTGTATTTTTAACTAGAGTTTCAGCAATACATCTTCTGCAAAAACAGAAGTAAATGTTGAAGAGATTTTGGCTCAGTAACTCAGCAAGAAATTGAATAATGGCTTTGAATTGCTAAAGTCTTTCACTGGATTGATGAAGTTTCTGCAGCCCACAGCTGCAGCAAGCTGGCAGCAATAAATTCTCCATGTGCTGCAAACTAARTAACTATTTCATCTATTTCTAAGTATGTGAAAGCTGGAGGCAAATCCATTTTACAACTGAATAAATACTTGCTTCTTTCCTTATGTCCTCTAAAAGAGGTGGTAGTGTAAKGCCAAACAAGAACAGAACTTCCTGGAGATGCCTGCTGTGAGAAACATCATAGTATTTCTTCAAGAAATTTCAAAACAATAGCTTAAAGGCAACTTTTTCCATTAGAAATCAAATTATTTTGAAAGAGTCAATATTTATAATAAAGGCCACAGTACAACAGATGAATTGAATTACCAATTTTTCAATCCAAATGTACAACACTGCAGTTCAAAATACTTCCCAAAATTTTGCATTTATTGTCTGCAAAGACAAACAAAACTCAAGTTTTCTTTCTTGTTATGCCAAGTAAATACATCTTCATGCTATATAATGTGGAATTGATGATATATAAGTACAACTATAACAGGACAGACAAGTCTGGGTTTTTTTTTCTTTCCACATGTACCATAAATCTGAATAAAATTTAGATAGTTAACTTAAGCAAGGTCATAATYCTGACTTATTACCCCATCTTATCTTTGTCATGTTTCCTTGAAGAATAGTCCAAAGTTTCTTCAGAACTTTTGAACARCTATAACAGCTATCTGAGTAACACTTCTCATGATACCTTAAAATKGCAGATTCTTTGCTGCTCAGTAACTACTTGCCAATTTGAAAACAGTACRTCTTATACTACTGAAACCTTCTAGCTTTCTGCAGTGTGTTTCCTCAACTGCTTCTCCACCAAAAAAACAAGTGTATTTATGCATCCTCTATTTTAGTTACTCATCATTTCATAATATGTATACAGGTTTTAATTTTATCAAACCAAGAAATATGACACAACAGCATTCCTGTCAGACAATCCTAACACACAATCTAATTCACAGCAATGACAGCATTAATTCTACAAACCTAAGCAGCAGGAAAAATTTAGCGGCAAACACAGATGAGCTTCACAGAAGAAAAGAGAGATGCTTGGCTTTTAACAAAAGCAAAAGAAAAGGGTGTTTGCAACCTTAAGCTAGAACTTGCTGTGTGGATAATGTAGAACTTAGAATTTGTGAATGTGGGCTTTGATTAGGAAAAGGACTCTTCCTTGCACACTACTGATAGAAATAGACAAAAGTTCATCACTGGCCTAAATAAAGTTCACTATGGAACCCTATATGAGGATGGATTTAAAACACACTTYTAACCATTGGAGAACTACTTCCTACTACAATGGTTACAACATTGGGTGCAATAATTGAAACCCAGTGGATGTACTGTCTATACACACACAGAGAACGTGACATCAAATGTTGCATTTACTGCTCTACTTTTGATTTGATGTATTTCATACAAAGATGGAAGGAGCTGCTACACCAGAATTACCAGAATATTCTGAATGTACATTTTAATCCTTCAAAATGGCATACAAACACAACAAAYACCACCTGTGCCTTCACAGTGAAGGCAATTATTGCTGGCAATAATTTGGAAATCTGTATCTTTGAAATACGGGTGAAATTTAGTTATAAAGATCAAATACTATCATAACTACCAGACATACAAGAGTTTTAGGCAGATACTGGTACAGAGAATGCACGGCAGGAAAAGCTTAATATTTGATTGAATCTGTGGGACATTACAAATATCCTACTGAACTTAAAAGTTGAAAAGCTTTGTATGGCTCTCAGAAACTTCTCCAGTAAATTCATTACCAGAAAAAGCAATGTATCCCTAAACAGGGCTTTAAGAATWCTTGGGAGGCTCATGAAATGTACTTATAGTTGAATGAAAAAAATGTTTTGGTTATCCTCCTTAAGAAACCAGAGTAAAATGACCAAATTTTACCATTTYCACATCACCTGAAAAAGATGTATGCACAGAACTTCACTTACACAATCCTAAAATCAAAATCAAATACTCCATAAAGACTACATTTTGTAAACAGTGGTGCACACCATAACAAGAGCATGCCTTTCTACCACAAYGGCACCATGAGACATAGTTATGACTATTAAGAGCATCAGAGTCATAGTGTATCCCAGTCATGGGTGGAGATAGGCCCAGATATGCTTCAGTGGCTGACTTSTATTGTAGGGATAAAACTCCTTACCTTGAAAAGACTGTTTGGCTCTGTCCACCAGTTCTTCAACTGGRTAACTTGCTAGATCTCCTCTGGCATGCTTGGTTTTACAGTAGGTACATGCATTGAGACACCTGTTCAGAAAATGAAAATTCTCAGTTTCTAGCCAGAGAAACCATTATATGCACATCTATATTTATTAAACACATCTGGAAAAATGAGTTTTTATATCTATGACCAGAAAATAGTAGTACTGAGTTTTAAAATAAATGAAACAGTTTGAAAAAGGTTTTGCTGTCTTAACTTCTTAAACTATCTTTCACATCTATATGAAATGTTGAAAARCAGTCAGTGGGGATCACATACAAAACCCAAGAGTGAGAATTTAAATAGTTTTCAGAAAGGTATCATAGAGCTAATAACTGTTCATTACTAAAGATGAATCTCCAGTTTCCACTCTCTCTATTACACAAAACATCCAAGCCGAACAAGAAAATAAAGGAAAAARGTCCTGAAAGGCTGAAARTAGATTTTTTTAAAGTGTATATTCTTGAAAAGACATTTCARTTAATTTTTCCTACTTGCCTTTGGCTTGTATAAACAGAAAAAATAACGTAATGAATAGGAATCATCAACTAGAAAGACAGTTGGACACAACCGATTGGGGAATTAATGAAAATTCCTACAAGAAAATGAAGGAATAATGTGATTGCTTTTAGTTCACCTGACAATATACTAAAGGCAGACTAATTCAGAGTACAAAGATGCAAAAACCAAAAAACTACCTCTCATTGTAAGCTTGTTGTGCTTTTTTTCCCTTCTCCTCATTCAACAGGTTAAAGCATTTAAACCTAAGCTCCAGAAACTCCACAGACCCCAAAAAACTCATAAATATTTCTACTGTTCATGCTTACTAGAATATCATAAATTCTATCCATTTTTACAATAAAAAGGCCACAGCTTCACGAAGTCAGAATCTTTAAGGCTGTAAAAGCCCTCCAAGATCATCAAGCACAACCTTTCCCCGAACTTCACCACGTCAAATAAACCACAGCACTAAGTGCTACGTTCAGTCCTTTCTTGAACACTTCCAAGAATAGTGACTCTACCACTTCCCAGAGCAGCCTGTTTCAATGCCTGGACACCCTTTCAGTGAAGTTTTTCCTTAAACCTCCCCAGCACAGCCAGAGGCCATTTCCTCTTGCCCTTCCTGCTGGTTGCCCAGCAGAGGAGAACCCCACCTGGCTACACCCTCCTGTCAGCAGCTGTAGAAAGTGATGAGGTCCCTCCTGAGCCTTCTTTTCTCCAGGCTAAACATCCCCAGCTCCTTCGGCTGCTCCTCATCAGACTTAGTGCCCCAGACCCTTCCCCAGTTCCACTGCCCTTCTCTGGACATGCCCCAGCCCCTCAGTGTTGTTCTTGAAGTGAGAGGCCCAAAACTGAACACAGGATTGGCAGTGTGGCCTCACCAGGGCTGAGTACAGGGGGACAATCCCTGCCCTGGTCCTGCTGGCCACACTATTGCTGACACAGGCCAGGATGCCACTGGCCTTCTTGGCCATCTGGGCACAGGGTGGCTCATGCTCAGACACTGGGAACCAGCACACCCAGGTCCTCTTCTACCAGACAGTGCTCTGTCCACTCTTCCCCCCACCTGTAGCAATGCAAGGGGATATTATGACTGAAGTGCATGACTCAGCATTTGGCCTTTTTGAAATTCATACTGCTGGCCTTGATCCATCAATCCAATCTGTTCAGCTCCCTCTGCAAACCTACACCTCAGCCCAACTTAGTGTCATCTGAACACTTACTGAGGATGCACTTGATCCCCTCATCCAGATCATCAATAAAGATATTAAACAGATATTAAGTAAAATATTTGGGTGCCAYAAAAGGTGAATGTTCCAATTACAGGAGTACTACCATAGAACTTTCAAAATAATACTGAAAAGGCAAGGAYAGAACCAGGTGATGAAGTCACCAGCTACAAGACTGTGTTTACCATTTAGGATATATCTCATCCTCTCTTACAATGTCCAGCCTGATCTCCATGACTAGGTGATTAGTGTTTTGCAAACTCTAAAGGTTTTTCTTCACAAAGACTCCCCTCACATGTTAGTTCCGCTTCATTTGCATAAATAGGGTTCAGCAACAGCAGAACACTGCCCAGAACATTTGCTCAGGTACCCTCCAACCCCTGGACRTCCACTCAGCTCTGAGACCTTTCCCATTCAACAAAATCTTAATTTCTGCAAGAGAGCATCTAGATAGTTTCTGATTCTCTCTGCTAGACTGGATATGTATATTATTCGTTGTGCCTATCAGACCAAAATATCAGTTTTAGCATCCACTTCAGATCAGAAAACTAAAATATACTGCATAACAGCAGCAATCAGACTGTTCTATTAACTAAGAAAGTATATGAAAAAGGTTGCCAATAAAATATCCAACTGGCTAATAAAAATAGAAAAAAAAATCCCTAAATCTGAACCATTACAATCTGTTCCAATTAAGTGATTCATTGCCACCCAAACACAACTTTTTCAGATGTATGTCACCTTTCTTCTGTGAATCAGAAGCCTTTCATTGCACAGGATCTGAAGAATGTGTAAAAGGCAGTACTTGGCATCAAGAAAGTGTAAGCAGSTAATTGGTTTATACTTTGTGTAACCTATGTAGCAAATGAAAATGTTTTTCTAGGTCACTGTCATCCRAAGTTTGCCACAAATGGCTTTTCCTCAAAGCCCATGGGTACTTCTTTCTCTTCATGCTTCCCTTACACAAAGCATGTCTCCCTCCTTTTATTTTTTCTTTTCTTGATTTTCTTTTTTGCGAGCTTGTTTTTAAAGCACAACTCTCCATTCAACCCAATACTTCATTTCTAAGCAGGCTCCCATCCAGACAYCCAAATGTCACACTCCTCCCACTCCACATCATCCATTCAGCTAAACCAGGCTTCTTCCACACAAAAGAAAAGCATTATGGATCACTCATGGAAACATAAAATCAGTTTCAGAGCAAATATGTTTGGCCCTTTGGAACCATCACACAAAAGGTGTGATATTATGTACTAACCTTTGTACKAACCTCTGTTTTCTCCAAAGAAAATACAATTACTGACCATTTTGTCAAATTTCTCAAGTCATCAAGAAGAGATTTTACTACAACAATACTGTTTCTTGAACACTAGGTTACTTTAACACTGGCTTTTTCACCCACAGAAGTGAATTCTGTCAGCCATGAAAGGGATGCATCAAAATTTTTCTCTTTGGATAAAGTAAATTTATTGGATTCTAATTTAAGCTCAGATTTGGGGGAAAAAAATCCCACAAGAAAACCCACTGACAACTTTTATAATTTCCTTAAATTTGCAAATTCTGACTTGGTGTAAGAGTTTCAACAAGAACTGTATCACAAACTTTTTGTTGCCTTGAACAGTAACCTAGAATGAAAACAATGTTTTTAGTAGACCTTCAAATGTGTCAGTTCATCATGAGATTGATAAAAACTGTAATAATAGTAAGTTATTTAAAACAAACKTCTAAACTCACCCCTGTGCAATAGATCTAAATAGATCCAAAATCTTAACTGGTATTGATGTACGATGTAAGAAGGATTATTTATGCTATCTACATAGAACTTTTCTGTTTCCTTATCATGTATTAGTACATCTACAAAACCTACCATGTTATCTCTTTCTCTCTTTGCATAATTTATTCATAAATCATATAAATTGCTTACTACGAATTTTGTTCTGTATTTGGGTAGCACTATTTGAAAAGCTTTACAGCAAGAACAGTAAATACTAGAAGTATTAACTACTATGCAACAGTGCTAAATATTGAAACTATTAATCTACAAACCTTGAACATAAATTTCACATCTTCAATCARTGCTCCTGGGCTACCTGGAAAAATACAGTAACAGCAGCTCTTCCTATGGTACTTCAGTAAACTTTGKCATAAAGAGGGCATGGAAATGTGGAGCAAGAGGCACAAATAAAAAAAGGGGAAGATATTTTCCAAATATTCACAGTGCAATTATAATATTTTCCAATACTTTCACAATATTATATTATTTTCCACATATTTACAGCATTATGTGGCATTGTTTCCAAGACATTTATTACTACAGTCTTTAAGTTCAACTTCAGGGAGTCTGTTGATTTATTTTGGGGTAGGAGCTGAAAGCTGGAATTTGGAGGCAGACTTCTTTCAAGTTTTGCTGTGGTAATTAACTTATTCCTACTATAAAAAAGAAGTATTATGCAGGTCTAAATAACTTAGTTTTTCTTTTTTTTTTTTTGGTACTTAAAGAGATTATATAACAAAACCAGAAAGAGACAGACTTAGATGCCACATAAAAAGGATCAATTTTAGAAAGCAAACCAGAAGAGACAAAACTTCTATATCCTATTTGTACMATATTTGTTAATACCAAGTTGGAAAAGGAAATAATCTTCTGGGCTCCAGCTGACCGACAAAGGTATGCAGATGTAAACTACTTATAAAAATGCTGAATTAACCACTTTTCACAGATAAAAGCACGAACAATTCTTGAAAATAGAAATTTAAACCAAACTGTAAGTATAATCAAGGATCTGTAGTGGTTTCTTCCCAAGTATGCCAGCCTCCACTCCAGTTTCCAGCATTACAAATTACTCATATGTCCACACTGCCACATACTCAGACCACAGACAATAAAGTGGAAAAAGGCTTTTGGGAATTGAGAATCTGAGCACTGCCTCTTACTAAGTTGCATCCACTCCCAAGTGGGTCATCTAAAACCAATACCTCGTTAAAAATCCAGCCTTCACCATGGCTGCAGCTCAAATACATCAGACTAAACAGCCAACATGCTAGGAGTTGCAAAAGAGTATTTCATTTGAGTTAAACCGGGAGCATTCTTCAAGCATTTGAGTTAAACTGGGAGCCTTCTTCAAGGGTTCTAAATGTTAGTTTGTCTCAATACAGGTCAAAGCTTTTTTTGCACAAAGAAATCAGACACTTGTATAAAACARTAATTAATGATCATTGTGCTTGCAATTACCAATATGTTTTGGATAAATTTTATAGTGATTCCAGAAATWAAAAACACTGAGTCCTGGTTTTCCAACATGCTAAACTGATTAAGG